CGCTGGGATCTGCCTTCCTCGACCGCCTCGCGACGCAGTTGCCCGTGCCGCCTGTGATGCACTACTCTGATGCCCGTCGCCATTGTCGCTGCACTTGGAACCGCAGCATCATTATTGTCTGCCCACCGAGTGCGCGCGGGCCGTCGAGCGACAGCTGAAGAAGGAGAGGCCAAGAGGTCGAAGGGATCCGGCGAGGCCGGGCGCCGTAGCCGGGCTACAGATGGCAAGACACCCAGGTTCCATCGACGGGCGGGCGCCGTCGTTTTCCGTCGGACCTGCCGTCTGCTCGAAGTGCACCTCGCCAGCATGGCAAGGCAGGAAAGACCGGCCACCACCGAACCCATCACTCGGCTGAATCCTTCCCCCACGTCCATGCGACGGGGGAAGAGCAAAAGAGGCGGGCGGGGTTGGACTGCCCGGCCAGGCCAGTCAGCTGTCCCTCCTCTATCTGTACGAGCATCGCCGTGCCTGGCTTGGGCGCCAGGTCATGCACTCGAGGCCGCCTCCAGCGCAACAATTCCTTGGCACGGCACGGATGGAGGCCTCGTCGGCCGCGATGTGGGCAACGGCACCGAAGCGATATCACGAAACCACCGACCACCATTCGCTCTGGCACGGCCAGGCAACCAAACATCATGCCTCTGGTCGGTCGCGGTGTCAGCGGTTGCACCGGATCGGCCGTGGTGACGCTGCTGAGCTGCGATGGGTCGTGGTAGTATTCTGCCGGCAAGGGACCGACGGCGACGGGGTCAAAACGCCGGGGCGAGGTCGATCGCGGACTGCCTCAGGAAGCTCGGCGAGATCAGCAAAGCGATCGCGGTCAGACACGCGCGGCGAACGCAACCACATCTTGGGCTGAACAGGACCGACCCAGCTGACCAGGAAGCTGTACGGTACGGTGCACAGGACGACCATGCCCGGCGCGATGGCGAGGCCAACATCGCCTTTGCGGCCTCCGGTGCTTGATTGGTGCCCCCGACCACGGACTCTGACGCCTGCCGATGTGTGCGGTGCCGGCGGGCGTGGGGACAATTCGAGGCAGCAGCCCGCATCGGCAACGCGAAGGTGCCGTGGCAGCGTACTTCGCCTGCGTACTGCTATACCTCCCCCATTTGACAGGTCGGCGGGAGCGCACCGCCGGGGCCAGTCCAAAGGCGCAGCGTACATCAGTCGATGAAAGAGAGAGACAGAGAGGGGCAAACCGTCGACGCCGAGGGTGTTTCCACGAGCTTAGAGAAGTCGTGAAGTGGTGTGGACCGGCTCAGGCTCGTCTTTCCGGCGTCACCGCTAGAGTTCCGACTTTCCTGCCGCTGTCGTGGAACGAGCGATGGCTAGGTACAGCACACACGTCGGAAGGGCCAGGCAGGACTCCCTAATTAATATATGTCGAGATCGTCGTCGTGGGTCCGTCACGTTGTGCCATGGCTGTGACACACCCTAACCATTGTTCCGCGCACACTGCCGCTGCTGCCCAGCACCCGACCCGGCTGATCCCCGTCGCAGCCGGCTGCCGTCATCTCTCAGCGAAAGCGCGGGGGAAGCACTGCGAGTCTGCGAGTGCAGGCTGTACCACGCGTGTGCTCCGAGGTCGGGTCGTCAAAGGCACGGGCTGTGGGCATCATCCGCGCTCCGGCACACGACGCGACAGGACGACGAGCGCACGTCGTCCGAGTCGCAGTACGGCAGATTTACGCCCTGGACGGCCTGAGCTGTCAAGCTCCGGCGCTCATTGCGGTGCAATCTTGCCGCCTGGTTGCTCGAGGGAAGTCGAAGCCCGGCAGCGGATGCTTCGCACGTAAAGCTACATACGCGGCGAGGATGGCAGAAGCGAGCGCAAACGCCGCGGCCTGGACACGGATCGAGCCTGCTCTACCTCCCATTCTCTGGGGTCACCGACACCGGTCAAGTCTGCATATCGTTCGAGGGGGTGCTGGTTCGACGGCAGCCGGTCAACTGACATGGAAGAATAGAAGGTCATGACGAGGTAGAATAGGAGCCCACGACGGGGAAGAATTGGACGCCATGAGAGAGCGATGCAGTCTAGCGGGTCCTGGAGTTGTGAGCATGGGCACTGCTGCCTACGACAAAAAGAAAGCACAAGTCCAGGGGCGGTAAGGCGCTGGGAGGGTTGGTGGCCAACTGCGGGTAACACCGGAAGGAGCGGGCGGGAAGAGGACGGAAGACCGGAGCGCCCGGCTGCCCGTCCGGACTCCGCCGTGACCGGTTCGGACAGCCTTAAGCTCGCTTCTTCTCCCACCCTGGCCGGCTCCATGCTGCCCGTCTGCGGTGGATAAGTGTTGCGCCGCACAACGAAGATGAGATACATAGAAAGAGAACGACAGCCGGCGAGCGATACGCCTGCCTCGTCGCTCTTTTGTCTTGCGCCCCTCTTGCCTTGGCCGCTGCCTGCCGAAACGGCCAGCTGCTCAACGCCGAGCATCCGACTGGCGAACCTGTCCCACCCAGGCATGCGCTGCGCTGCACGGCTGCTCCCGAGCGCGGTGTCAATGCAGGGGATGCCGGCCGACTCACGCAGCACGCTAGGCGCAGCTGCCATCCATGTCGTCGAGCGAGCGAGGGAGCGAGGGAGCGTGCGCCGTGGCGTGGGAAGTCGGACGCACCTTGGCTCGAAGCGGCAGGACAGGTCGGCCAGGCAACGGGCGAGAACAGCTAGGGCCAGTCTGCATACGATGCAGGAGCAAGTCAGCCAGCGAGATGCGCAACAGCATAGGCCGGTCCCCTGCCCACACCATATGCATGGTTCGGTATCGCTCCGATCCGCGCGGGACTACTGACTCTCTTCCGCCGTGGTGCGCTGTGCAGCCACCGTCGACGGAGCACGGCCCGACCGAAGGCGGCGGGGCTTGGCGAAGCTCGCGAAGCTGAACGAGCAAAGAGCAGGCGGCGACCGGGACAGGTGTCGACCATCAGAGGTTGGTCCCGCGATCTCCATCTCACCGCGCAGAAACGCCACTCGATCTTGACGAACTCATGCCACAGATCACATCTCTAGGCGGGATCGTCCGACTGCTGAGCAGGACAAGTCGGTGCTGAGGAGCGACTTTTCCCGACAGCCTCGACGCTGCTACTCGGTAGGACAGTCACCTTTGGCTTGCCGCAGTATCTGAGCCCCGGTGCTGAATCGCCCGGCAAACCCGTCGTCACGCCAGGCGGAGCCGTCTCCGAAGCGTGCGCCTCTGTTCCCATGTGAGCCCCTCTCCGTCGTTCTGCTGCCCCGAGGAAGGCCCCTGGAGCCTCGCCCGCGCTTGGGAGGGCACGCTCCGTCCGTTCCCGATGGAACGTCGGGCGAGGAAATCCTGCACAGCTCCGTGCCTGCGGCCGGCTTGCGTCTCGGAAGGCCCTCCTGCCGCTGAGCAGAACACGCCATTCGCTCCGCCTGCTTCCCTCCCTCCACTTTCGGCTGGAGTTGGCAGCAGTCGGCCGGGCGTGCGTGCGGAAGGATGGTGTCAGGGCAACCCTTCTCTTAGCTGCCTGCCTGCCGCAGGCCATCGGCTTGCGAGCGTCGTACAAGAGTTGCGGCAAGTCCTTGCTGCCAGGCGCGCGTCGTGCGACCGTACTAGCTCTTCTGACCGCTCTGCTCTTCTCCACGAGCACAACCGTCGACATGGAAGGCAGCCTCGTTTCCGGGACATCGAGGCTGGTCCGCAGCGGGTGCGCCCGACGATCAATAGGTCAGATCCGCGGCTCTGGAGGCTCAGCAAGAGAAGCGGCGGGCGGTTGGTAATGGTCGGGTGAAAGCCATACTGTACCACGATCAGGATCCTCGGGCCGACGGCGACGTTGTCGACGCCGCCGATGGTCGTCGTCTGAGCCATTCAGTCGCCCACGGCTGCTCCCGAGGCAGAAAAAGGGGTCGGCGGCAGCAAGCGGACGCGGTTGCTGCACCCATATCCAGGCAGGCGCCAGACACCCTCCTGCGTGTCGGCTGCGCGTGTGCGGTTGGTGGCGCCCTCATGAGAAAGCGAGCGGGGAGTCGAAAGCTGGGAGCAGCGAGCTAAGCAAGCAAGCAAGCAGCATCGTCAGCGCCAGAGGTGCTTCTCGCGCGGCCCGCTCATGCTTTGTCCGTGCCTACGGTGGTCTTGCTTATCGGTGCGTGTATCCTTGCTACACGACGGCGCCGCAAGGGAGGTAACGCGGAGCAAGCGTCGCATGAGAGCAGCTAGAAAGACAGCGCGTCGAAGAGCAGACGCCAGGATGCTCGGTCGATGGCATGACGATGGGCACGGCGGTGCTCAGCTGACGGGGCGGTGCGAGCAGCTTTTGCTTCGCGCTGGCAGAAGGTAAAAAAAAAAAAAAAAAAAAAGAACAAGAAGCAAGCAGGCAAGCTAGAGAGGCAGCTGCTCCCTTGTCGAAGGCGCTCTTCGGAAGGCATGTGCCTCGTTCCGGTCATGCCGAACGCGAAGCGGAGCGGCGTACGGAGAAAGTCATGCTCAAGGCATGTGAAATGCAGTGCAGCGCAAGCTGGAGCAAGCAAGCAGGCAACCAGGTAACCAAGCAGGCAGGCAGGCCTACCGGACAACCTGCTCCCGCACGCTCGCCTTCACACCCACTCTTCTCTCCGCACCGTACGTGCACTCCTCTCAGCTGTTTGACCTTCGGCCGCCACACCTTTTCGTTCGCTGCTCGCCCTCCAGGCATGCGGCAGATGGCCGCCCCCCCTCTCTTCCAGCATCCCAGCCTAAACGTCCTCCTACCTCGTGCAAGGGCCCAGCCCGAGCCTCTCCTCGTCGTCCTAGGATCAGGTCGAGGTTGCCGTGGGTTCTGGGACGGACGCGACGCCGATGTGGTAATCAGCAAGACCACCTAGCCTGCTCGCGTGTCGTCGAGAGCGGCGCTCTTTCTGCTGAGCCTTGACACGCAGGCACCTCGACCCGATTGGCTGCCCTTGGCTGGACATGATGGCGATGCCGGTGAGCTGACAAGTAGCTTAGCGACGAGCACCCCAGCAACCGCAGCACCGCTCTTTGGCACGGCCAGTCATGCCCTTGTGCCTGCTTCTTCTGGACCGCGAAGCCTTGGAACCGCCAGCTGCCCATCTCAAGTCATGGAAAGACCTGCCTGGCTGGCCTGTCGAGCCCTCCCCGGCTCGCCCAGTCCGTTCCGCGACGCCCCTCCATGCTTCAGCCACGAACTACTGCCCCCTCGCATCTGACCCTGCTCAAGGTACCGCTTGGCCATCTCGTTTGCCTGGAGACGTGATCTGCATGAGAGCAGCCAGGCTCTCTAACACTCATGGTCCGCTTTCCATGCTGACCCGCACGGAGCTGTGTGTAGACACGCACGCACGAGAGAAGGCTCGCATGCCTCCTCGCCGACCGGCGCTTTCCCTCGGAGAGCGATCAGCCAAGCCACCTGGATGCCCGCTTATACGACGGATCTTCCCTCTGCCCTCCGTCAGCTGTCGTGGCCCGGTCATGGCAAAACTGACACCCGCCACCTGTTTCCAGACAGGCAAGCTGGCAGGCTGGCAGGCAGACAGGCAAGTGAGGCCTCAGGGCGAGCTGCATCATGGCGCCGTGGCAGGAGTCAAGCTGTCGGGGACGGGCAACTGCCGCCGCCCGCTGCCAGCGGCGTACTCGAGGACGCAACGGCGAGCAGCGAGCCATGTCGCGCCGCTTGGACGCTCGCCGACTACTACGTGCTGTAGCGACCGCGCAGCATGGCCTCCGAGGATCCGTGTGCACCTCCAGCACAGGCTGCCGCGTCGTCCAGCCACCGAGCTTTCAGCTCTGTGGCGATGTGTACAGGACTGAGCGGCCATGCCACGACAACCGATCCGACGAGGCAGCCCTGCGACGGTCCTCGCTGGTACTGCAGCTTGCTTCTTCTTTGACAGCCAGCCAACCGGCTGCCACCTCGCAATCTCACTCCATCATGCATCGTGCCTGGGACAACACAGCAACACAGCAGCGAGCATGCATATGCTCTGAACGGCCGGCCAGCGAGCGGGCCTGGCCTAGCGCTGAGAGACGATCTAGGTCTCGGAGATGCCCATCCGGCCTCGAATCGCCAGCCCCTCGGCGTAAAAGGCGTGCGTGCGTGCGTGCTTGCTCTGCCTCCTACACCTGCCTTCTCCGTCGCCTTAGCCTCGTGTACGCCGGCCAACAAGAAGACGTGCGTACGCACTGTTCGGGAAGATGTCCAAGCTAAGAGAAGATGCCGTGCGGGCGGTGGTGCGCCTTCTGAGGCTAGGCTAAGGCCCGCGCACGCACTCGCGCACGCATGTGGGAATCGACGTGGGCGGCGGAAGCAGGCCAGCCAGCAGCTGGTTCCCGGATCGATTCTGCTTGCTTGATGGGTCGGCCTGCATGCGAAAACCCTTGCAGCAACGACACCCGGGGCTGAAGACCTCGCTCGCCTCGCTCGCCGCGCCTTGCCTCGCCTCGCCACCGACACGACGGCCGGCTCTGTGAGGCCGCTGCTGGCCGGCAGGCTGGCCTTGCCTTTCCGTCGTGCCTGTTTCGGGTGCCCAGCTGCCGGCCAGTCTGGTTGATCGAGGCCAGCCAGCAGCCTCTTCGGCCCGCCCCGGTCGGTTGCCCGCGTGCGCTCTTCCGGCCCGTGCCTCTCTTCGCGAGAGGCTCGCGGCCTTGCCAGTCCGGGGGGCGCCGGATCCTCGATGGCATGGGCCCAAGACAGAACAGAGGCGGCTCCCAGCTGAGACGAGGCTGGGTCAAGGTGATATCATACGAGGCGGCGCTGCTCGTGGGGAGCTCTTCTGATGTGCTGGCCGGCCGCCAAGAAGCCAGAGAAGCAAGCAAGACGTGGTCCGATGGAGGTGGCTCTTTGCGGGCCTGGCTCGTGTCTCTGGGTCCGGCCCGACCCAGGTGTCGGGATTTTTCCACCAGCTGCCACTTCTCGCGCCTCCGTGGGAAAGCTGTCCTGCATCTGCCCGCCGCCACGCCTCGCCGCCGCCTTCCTCTTTCCCCCATCGACCCGGCCTGCGCGACCTGTCGACGGCGGGCTCTCGTCGAGGCCCTGGCCAACTTGCTGGCCGACCTGACCGGACGACCGACCGAACGACCGACCGACCGACCGAGCGACCCATCGTTCGATCCGTGATCGGTACCTCTGCCAGCTGTACGTGTGTCTTCTCGTCGGCTAAGGGAGGAGGACGAGGCAGGGGCGCGAAACCTTCGCGGGTGGGTGATGCCGACGCCCCGACGGTGTCCGCCTTCGCTCTTGCCGCCGTCCGAAATGGTCGGACAGCGCCTGCCAGCTGCGCATCCAGCAGCAGATCAAAAGCCACGTCGACTCTAGTCTAGACGAGCGGCACAGGCGCGGGCGGTCAGGGGACAGGACCGAGGAGCGAGCGAGGTGAGGAGCCTCGTGAAGCCAGCCAGGCAGCCTACTGGCCCCCGAGAGCTCCCCCCCTTCGGGCCAGACGAAACACCGGAGCGGCGGCGGCAAAACGTTTTTTGATGCCTCCTCGTACGTCCTTGCCTGCCTCCTCGACGGCCGGCGGCGGGCAGGAAAGGCAGGCTGGGAGGCGGGCCAGCCGGGGAGAGCTTATGGAGCTTTGCCAGGTTGCTCTGCTTTGCTTGCTTGCTTGCTTGCTTGCTCGCTCGCTCGACGATCCAGCCTAGCCTCCTGGCCTGGCTGGCCACGCCAGAGTCGAAGCTCGGACCACCGTGCTCCTGGCACCAACCGGCACCTTCCTCTTTGGCTCGCTCCCTCGCTCGCGTTTTCTCCGCTCGCCTGGCGTTTCTGGGCCGGATGGCTGGCCAGCCACCCAGGTTGGGCCCGCCGTCCGAAACCCTCGCTGCCCCCCCGCTGCCTGCCCGACTTTGGCCTCTGACCCCCGCCCGTCCGTCCGAGCCAAGCCCAACGCAGGCAACCCCGGCCTCGTTCCGCGCCGCCCCCTTCCGACGACATCCTCGCCTGCCTGCGCCTTCTTCTCCTGTATGGCCATCATTCCTGCCGGCGAGAGGGGGAGATGCACGCGAAGCCCTCGCTCACTCGGCCACATCAGCCTTGCTTGCCCCCCGACCCGCCCCGCCGCCGCCCAGGCAGGACGACCTGCCTGCCCTTTGTTAAATACCTCCCGCTGGCTTTGGCTGGCCCTACCGACCTCGCCGCCACGCCCTTCGCCTTCCGACCTCGCCCCTCGTCTCCCCTTTGTGCGTGCACCGTCTCTCCCTACATCGTCACTGCCGCTCGTCTCCGCCGTCCCGCCGACGCCGCCCTGGTTCCGCCTCCTCGCCGCCCTGCGATCCCGCCTAGGCAGCTCAGAGTGACGACGGCGACGACGACGACAACGACGACGACGACAGCGAAGACGGCATCGCTCGCGACCCACGACGCCGCCGACCGCGCTGCAGACGGCTCGCAGCATCTCTCCTCTCCGAGAAGGCCCTTTGCCCTCGACAGCGTCGGCGTTGCCCGCACCACGGCCTCAGCAGACTGGCTCCTCCGCGTTGGCCTACCCCAACGGCAACAAAAAGGGCGAGGTTCTTTCTCTTGACCTGGCCGCCCCGCACAGATCCCCAACCCATTCCTCCGTCCCATCTCGCCTCTCCAGAGCGCTCGTCCGGGCTCGGCCAGCGACGCCTCCCTGTCTAAATCGTCCGGCGCTTCCTGGCAAGCCGACACACGTTCCTGCGTGCCTACTAGAGCAAGGCCGGATCCTCTCGCCAGCCAGTCAGCGTCTCAAAAGGCACGTACGAGTGCCAGCCTGGGCTGCGTCATGAGGGACGAATCGACCGACTTTCGTCGAAACCCGCTGCCGTTCCACACGACCGCCAACGACGCACCCACAGGCGGCGGCAGCAGCAGCAGCAGCAGCACCGGCTCCGGGAGCGATTACGACCACCCTCACCACCACAGCCACCACCACGTCCGGAGGCGCCAGTCGCCCTCGTCGGCTGCGAGCCCCGCCCTCACCTACACCTCGTCGTCGGGCGTCAGCACGCCGGCTGTGATGAGTCCTGGGAGCACCGACGGCCAGCCGATCAGCTCGAGCTACGCGCGCCCGTACGCATCGCTTTCGACCCATCACCACCACCACCACCACCATCAGCAGCAGCAGCAGCATCACGACGACATGTCGCGGACGCAGGACCACACCGCCTCGAGCCCCTGGGGCGAAGGGATGCGCAGCCTGATGTCGAGCATCATCGGCGCTCCTCACCCGTCCGGCAGTGGCAAGGGCAAGTCGGCTTCGGCTGCCTCTTCATCCGGCAGCAAGGGCGAGCGCACCGCTTCGGACCCCTACGCGCCGATGCCGCTCCAGTCGCACGAGGTCGAGGCGGCCACCTCGAACTGGGAGGTGCCGCGCGAGACGGTGGCCATGACGATGGGTTTCCAGGGCAATTACGACGACCCTTCGTTCGTGCAGCCCATGTGGCAGTCATCGCAGGTGGCATCGGGCTACTCCAACGACCACGGCAACAGCAGCAACGGGGCCGCCTCGGGCTTTGCAGCCCCCTATGCGCAGCAACCCGCCCCGTCCGGCCTGCCCGGCGCCGACGCGCCCAGGACCAGGCCGAGCACTGACTTTCCGTCGCTCTCCGATTCTCGAGGTGAGCATCGGGCAGCAGAGAGCCTCCCATCGGTCGCATCGTCAGCCTTGGCCACCGCCGCTGATGCCCAGATCCCTGTCCCTCTTCCTGCTTCCGCCCGTCATTCTCGCGCTCCAGATTACTCCCGCAGGCCGCTGGTGCCACCGCATTCGAGGGCCATCAATGGCGGCGACTACCCGCCAATGACCCACGGCCGAGTCGCAGGCGGGCCTGACGCATCCGCCAACACCTGGTGGCAAGACCATGGCGGACAGATGGCTGACCCGGCGGCCCACATGGCGTCGCAGGATGCGCGCGGCCAACACTGGTCGGCGACGGGCCTCCAGTCGAACCGCCGCGTCAATCCGCCCCCGCTGCCAGAGACGCGCAGCATGGGCCGGCTAGGCTGGTCCGGCATGTCGGCGTCTTCGTCTTCGTCGTCGTCGATGGGCATCGACCAGGTCGGTGGCGGATACGAATTCCCCCAGAGCTCGTTGGGCAAGCGGCCGCACGACGACGATGTGGTCACAAACGGTCCCTCTGGGGCCGCCGCTACGACAAATGGAGGTCCGATCGACTATTCGGCCGACTCCGCCTACCGCCGCTACTCGCTGGCCCCCAACATGGTCTTTTCGAGGAGCCCGAGCAACGGACAGCAGCCGCAGCAGGCGCAACAGCAGCAGCAGCAGCCCACGCCAGCACAGCAGCAGCAGCAACAGCAGCAGCAGCAGCTCAACGGCGGTATGACGACCTATCGCCCGCCCATGGCCGGGCCCGACCCGCGCAGGCCCTCATTCGGCGGCGAGCACGCTTACGCGTCCGGCATGCTGCCGCCGCAGTCGTCGCGCCCCTATCCGGGCGCCCTTGGCGGCCCTGGCGGCAGCACTTCGTGGTCTGGCTGGTCGTCGTCAGCCTCGCACCCGAGCGGACTCAGCGCCAACCTTCCCACCAGCCCTTCGCCGCAATCGAGCCCCGCCGCCAATGGATGGAAGGACGGCATGGTGCGTCACGGCCAGGAGACGGCCACCG